ACTGTAAGCTATAGAGTGTAAGATTCTAGACTACAGCAGGCACCATCATGCTAACTGTAAGCTATAGAGTGTAACAAGCACCCGTGCATGGCAAGACCGCCCAGCACTGTAGATGTTACTGTCCCTAGTTTTTTATCTGCTTCCCTGTCACTCTCTTCTGCAGTGATGGGGACAATGAGCTGACTGTGGCCAACCTTAGGACCCTGAGTACATAAGCGACCTCAGTGGATCAACAAGCGCTCCCATAACATACTCAGGCTCATGGGAAGCGGAGGACCCCTGTAGAGGCCAGGCTCTTGGTTTCTGGGCGTGGCGGTCCAGGATTGTGACCCCAGCTCTTAGGAGGCTGAAGCGGGAGGCTTGGAGGACAAAGTCATCCTCAGCTGCACAGTAAATGAGACCAGTCAGGGCCGCAGGAGAGTTCCAGGAGACAAACAGCACCAGAGACCCCTCAGCAGCAGCCCCCTAGACAGCGCCCAGGGCACCCGCTTGCTGTCTTTTTCCTTTCAAAGGCTTGATGCAGTGGAGTTTATATCTGCGATTCAGCTGATGTGACCAGGGATGGTTATCACAACCACAGTGAAATACTCCTTATCTCAGTTATCTGCTCAGAAAAGAAAGGCAAGCTGCAGAAGGGAAGGTCTCTTGGCCCCAAAGACAATTGGTTGGATAGGGAGGGTGGCTTTTTGCATAATAAAGGGCTGGAGGCTTGGAGCTGGGGCAGAAAGACCCAGGCAGGCAGACGGGACATGGATGGAAGACTGAGAGGAGACAGGACAGAGCTGGGTAGCAGGCAGCCACACTCCTCAGTGGCTCTTTTTAGGAACTGAAACAGCAGAGGTTCCAGTTCTCTCTTCTCCAGTCAGGCGTTGCCACACCCGGAAGTGCTCCAGTCAAAACTGTCAGTGGCCTTGCCTCACTAGGTCTGTAAGAGCTAACTTAACTACCAATCTTACAGAAGCCTGATCATCTGGCAGACACAGTGGTTCCCCCTCCTCACGCGGACTCCTCTCCTCTCTATGAACTCTGGAGGTGCAGTGCCCCAGGAGTCGGTCTATTCCCTGACTTGTTAGCGGGAGCCTCGCTTACTCACACTACAGCAACACAGCGACTCAGGACCGCCTGTGGCTGAGGACCACGCAACCTCAACTCTATCTGCGTGGCAGGTCTCCTCCAAACTGGCCTCCCTCCCTTGACAGCCTCTGCAGTACACACGGGACTTGAGCTCACAGCTTCACATTCACTGTTCAGTAAACTTGTTGGTGCTACTGAAAATGGGTCCCGATGTCCGGAGTCCAGTCCTCACTGCCACTCCCTCTGGGTAACAAGCTGACACTTAAAGATTGTGTGTGTGTGTGTGTGTGCAGGGCAGAGAAGTTCATCACATCCCCTAGAGCTGGACTTACAGAATTGTGAATAGCCTATCTTGGGTGCTGAGCACCGAACTCAGGTCCTCTGAATGGACAGCAAGGTCCTAACTGCTGGGCCACTGTGTAACCCCACAAACTAGCACTTATAAATCGGAAACGCCAGTAGCTGTCTGATGGCTTCCCTTCTTTCCACCTCTTCTAGTCCAGTTTTCTCACATGAGCAAAGTCTGCAGACATTTTGGACAGTATCCAGCACAAAATACATTCTGAGTCCTAGGTTTCTGAAAGAAATTATGGTCGTTGTTACTTATTGATACTTGGCAAACAGGCTATTTGTACTTTCGACTGTCAGGATTTACTCTTTTATATAAATCAGCATGGGTTTTCTTCTCCAGTTTTTATAAATGAGATCTCAGTCTATAACCCAGGCTTTCAAACACACGGAGGGTGTGAAATTATCTTGATATTTAAGCTAACCGAACCAAAAAGTGACTCAAGCCTAAGCCTCCTCTCCTCTGCACACTCAGTGAATATCGCTTGGACCCCTACCAGTAAGTCACGGTGCTAAGTCAGTTTTTATAAGAGAAAAGGTCACTACTACCTAAGAAAATTAAAAAGTATTCCTTTACAGAAAGCAAATCTTAAAAAAAAAAAAATTAAAACAGGGCTGGAGTGATCAGTGTCTCAGTGGTAAACACCACTAGCTGCTCTTCCAAAGGCCCCAGGTTAGAATCCCAGCACCCATGTGATGGCTCACAGTCCTCTGTAACCTTAATTCCAGGGAATCTGATGGCTTCTCTGGCCTCCAAAGGCATCACGCGTGCGTGACAGACATACATGCAGAAATCCACCCATACTAATGAAATGTAACAATAAAAAAGTTAAAATAACCAGCTTATTTAACAAAGGCCATGTAACAGTATCACAGATGAGAAAGGACGACTGTACACACGGAGAGGGCTTGGAAAGGATACGTGACTGGTGACGTGTTTCCAATGATCCAGTAGATCGATAAGTTCACCATGAAAGCGATTACTCCTGACAGCAGTACCATAAGCTACAAAGAAACCAAGAGAATCACTGTAACAAACAAATACGTCTCATTAGGAGTCTCTAAAAATGCAAACTTCAACCATTAAAAGCATGACACAGGCTGATAATCTCTCTCTCTCTCTCTCTCTCTCTCTCTCTCTCTCTCTCACACACACACACACACACGCACACACACACACACACATGTACGTCAAGTCTGAGGCCAGTGTGGCATACAGAGTTCCAGACCAGTCGGATGCATAGTAAGAGCTTATCTCAAAATACAAACAAATACCCTACCAAGAAAAATGAATTTAGAAAATCAACTTGGAGCTGGGCAGTGTTGGTGCACACCTTTAATCTCAGTATTTAGGAGGCAGAGGCAGTTGGATCTCCGAGTTTGAGGCCACCCTGGCCTACAGAGTGAGTTCCAGGACAGCCAGAGATATACAGAAAAAGTCTGTCTAAAGAAACAAACAAACAAACATAACTGTCCAACAAGTAGTGAGAACCTGTGCAGTGAAGACCTGGCTTTAAGGTGGCGTTCGGTGCACATCTGAGATCCCAGCTTGTGGGACGTATAGGCAGGAGGATCAGGGAAGCTTTGGGCACAGAGTGAGTTTGTGGTTATATGACTGGCTATATGACATGCTATCTAAAACAACAACAAAAACCCCAAACCAAAGCAATGAACCAAGGGGCTAGGAGATAAGCAAGTGAAAGCTTCCCCATCTCCCACAGGACCCAAGTTCAATCCCTAGCCGGAAGGGTGGCTTACAACCATGTTGCAACTCCAGTTCCAGGGAATCCGAAACCACTGGCCTCCAAAGACACAGATTGGAAAATAAAATAAATCTTTAAAAAGCAAGCAAAGAATCCAACAAAAGACAGAGTTTTCGATGTGAGTTTCTAGGTTCTTTTTTTTTTTTTTCTTATTCCCTTAAGGAAGAAATGCTTTCTTTTAAAATTTTACTCTTTCTTCCAGACAGAGTCTCCCCTCTACTGCCCAAGCTGGCTTCAACTTTGTGGACCCATGGACTCCTCTGGCCTCAGCTTCTGAATAGCTGAGATACAGGCACACATCACTGAGCTCAGCAGTAATGAGTTCCCATTAAAAGCTACACATGAACATTATAGAAGATATCAGAAAATTCAGGCAAGCAAACAAGCCTACGGAACAGCTACAGTCCCAGCCACTGCCAATCTGCTAACACTAGGGCATGGATACCTGCAAATTAATTTCTGATGAAAAGTGTTTATTGGATAACTATGCTATCAAGCCAGGCTCTGTGAGGAACACAGTGTGTGGACAGCTCCTTCCCAGGCGTTCCGGTCTATTTTCACATGCCTCAGTTCTTCATGTGAACACACCCCTCACCTTGCCTTCCTCAGAGAGCAACCACGGGGATTAAATGTGAGAACCGACTTGAGATTGTGCTCCCAAACCCACAAACCACATTAGGAAAGGGGTGATCAGTGCACCCTCTCTGGTGCCAGGACAATTAGAACTTACCAAAGCAGAAACTGACCAGGGACCAAATATTCCTCCTTCTGCGAACACCGGCTCAAAGAAGGGCACAGCCACCAGCAGCATGGCCGACGACATGGGAGCCTGGTAGTAAAGTAGCTGCATGGAGTTCACTTGCAGTTCATGCTGCTTGGCTCCGACCCACTGACAACCGGGAGATAAAACAAGTCAGGTCCAGAGAGAAGCATCCTTTGGCCAGAGCAACACAGGGTCAGGCTATGGAAGAGGACAAACCTCATGATTCTACAAGATCTCAAAGGATGGGGAAACACGAGGGACTCTGAACATGCTATGTGCCTGTCAACTGACGTCTCAATGCCTTGGAGAGGAAAACGGTAGGTACCCCTCTATTCTCCCGCGTCTACTAAATAGCAGGAAGTAAATGCAGCAGGGACCTCATGCGTCAGGGACACTGGGGAAACAGGGAGGGAATGGAAGTTTCCATGAGAAGAGGACTCCAGTGTGTGGCTTTAAAGGTATGTGGACTTCAGAGCCACTTCAGTGGCAGAAGACATTTTTTTCTCCAGAGAACTTTTCTGTGGGTTGGATTTCTCATAAATATACCTGGGCACAGTGGAGTAACTGAAAACCCTAAAAATACTGTCTCATTCAGTAAAAAAACCTCAAAACTGTGTATCTCATGTCCTTAAAAATACTTCACAAATATGACTAACGAGAGGCTCTGCAGAGCATTCAGCCGACAGCTTGAATCAGGTCTTGCAGAAAAGCCTGGCTTGTGAGCAACCTCCACAGACCTGTTTCCTAAATCTAGGTATTCTGTAACATAAGGCAAGTCTATAGGAATTCACCGAGACCGAAATGCAAAAGCAGGAAATGTGAACCACGCGCCTGCCAGCTTTCACTAGCAGTCTCTGAGACTTTGAAGGACAAAGAGCTGATTCTTCCTCAGCCTGCTTATAGGAGTACGGCTATGATCAAGAACAGGAAAGCTTCAGACAGTGCTGGCTCACCTTCCTGCCTGTGCTAGCTTCCCTGACTGCTGTACAACTACTAGGGACGGCTGTCTCAACCAAGCTGCTGGCCACCATTCCTCCCACACCCTATTGAAGCATACCCACCACGTCCCAAGCCATACTCAAAGTACCGTCTGACCGACATCTTTTCCTATCTGCAGTCACAGACAGCTCTGACCTCTCTCCTTGAGCATCTTTAAATAATATTTCAGGTTCTGGAGATTGAACTTGGGCCCTGGGCATGCCAGGCAAGCACGCTATCACTGACTTCCATCCCTGGTCTCACACCCCAAGTATCCATCTGTAACTTCTCAGGCAACACAGCTTCCTGCTTAGTCTGCAGGACTAGGCTTCAGTCCATAATCCCTTGTGCAGCCTCCATATGTGCTGCCATCCTCTCTCCTAGGGACCCAGCTCCTCAACACCGCTGGCTCCCAGCCAGTCGGGTCCTAATTCCTCCTCCCGTAGGCCTCAAGGTCCTGTGCCCACACCCCTGCCCTGGTTCTTTACCCTTCTTCTCTTCTGTACCCTCCAACGTCACTAGATTTTTCCTAAATACAAATTATGATAAAGCCTCTTCCCAGTCTAAATGTTCTCCCCTGCTGGCGTCCGCAGAATAAAAGACATTTCCTCCGAGCGACAGCAAGACTTGGCTGTCGGGCTTAGCTACTCGGCATTTCCCTCTCACGACACACCTATAGTCCAGCTTCACTAAACACATCAGGTGCTCCCCAAGTGCTCCACGATTTGAAACATACTAAAGGATAGGCCTCAAGACTTCACTGCTGAGCAAACTTCTATGCCTCCATCTTAAACTAACTTCCCCTCTAGTCTAGCCTCGTCACTCTGAGAGCAGAACTGGCATTTCTTCCTCCGTGCTCCTCAGGACACTCCTCAGCATGGAGGGATGCTACCCAAGCTAGCTACAGACGTGGGAGTCTGCACGTGTGTCTTGAAGGGTAGGGTTACAGCTGCTTTTCCTCATTGTGTCCTCACAGGTGAGCATAAAGGAAGTCTTCTCAAACAAACAAGCCCACCATCTTTTTCCAGCCAAGAGTTAAAGATTCCTCTTTCACCTTCTCTTACTGTTCCCAGCAGCAGAAAACAAACAAAAAACAAACAAAACAAACAAACAAACAAAAACCCTTAGAAGCCCAGTTAGGACACAAGAAGCAGATATAATTTTGTTTAAAAGGAATTTTTTGGTGGGTGTCTACCTATTGTGGCACAGTACCTTTGCCCATTGGTTTTCAGTCACTCTTTGATACATTTCATTGCAAATCTTGGGGATATAGAATCTTTTGATTCTAAGCTTCGGCAATTTTGAAACACTCATGAACAAAAATGGCCACATACACACACACACACTAAAAAAAAAAAACCCAAACCAGTGAGTGTTGTGAACTGATATTTTGTATATGAAGGAAAAGCAATTCTAATATTTAACAAGTAAACGAGGTGTGGTAACACATACCTATACTTTCTTAAAAAGTGACAGGAGAGGCCAGGCATGGTGGCACATGCCCTTAATGCTGGCACTTGGAAGGCTGGCGGATCTCTCTGTGAGCTCCAGGCCAGCCTGGTCTACATAGTGAGTTCCAGACCAGCCTGGTCTACATAGTGAGCTCCAGGTCGGCCTGGTACAGTGAGTTCCAGGCTAGTCAGAACAACATGATCCTGTCTCAAGAAAAACAAAACAAACAACAACAACAAAACAAACAAACCCACAAAAACAAAACAACTACAACAGAGAGTAAAAAGTGGATCACTGGACAGCTCAGTGGCTTAAAGGTTTCTGATGCCAAACGTCACTACCAAAGGTGGGGCCCAGAGACCCACGTGTTAGGAGAGGACAGACTCCCAGCCTGAAAGTTGCTCTCTGACCTCTCTGTGCACATAGTGACTGGCATGTACATGCACACATGTGTACATACAAACAAAATAAGAAAGTGTAAAAAATAAAAGGTAGAGCGAGCAGGGGTTGAAGCTGAGCGGTGGCTACTTGACTAGTGTGTGTGAGGTAGTGAGTTCGAGGCCAGGACGATAACAGCCACAGAAGGCTCAGAAGCAGCGGGTGGTTGAAGTTGTTAGCTGGCTGGCTGAGTTTTAGCTCAGTATACAGTGCTTGCTTAGAACGCAAGGAGGCTGTGGGCCCAATCTTCAACCTCCCACAGCCCTACCCAAAATATAGTAACAATGTTTCTGGGACAACCCCACCAGCAAACAGTGAGGTGCTAGGGCGTAGTACTGAGCTAACATTCCTAACTGGGAATGTCTTCCTTTATCACCAGTGGGTATTTGTGTGCCAGAGGTAACACTGGTTACATGGTGCCTCTGACTCCCCATGCAGGCACACCCAGCATTTCCAGACCAAAGTTTCCAGCATAGAGAGAAGACTGTTTCTCAGTTCCCCACACCCTTCAAGTTCTCCCCACTACACAGGACACAAAAGCCAGCTTGTTGGCAACTTAGGATAATGAAGTGAACCCATGGGAAAAAAAAAACTTAACTGAATACTGGCTAGAGGGAAGGCACCGTGCTCGCATAAGAAGTTAGAAACCTAGAAAACACTCTATTGACACAGACAAATTATCAGAAGACCATGAGCAAGTTGTAACACCAACACTTCTCTGAGCTTAAAATATGTACACCTGATTTTTTTTTTTCATGTTCAAAGGTTTGGAAGTTTGTGACTTTATTCACCCTAGTGACTTTTTAATCGAGGAGTAAATGACAAATGTGACCAATGAACAAAACCTTACTGCACATTTTGTAAAGACTTCCAAAAGGAAAAACCCAAACCCAAGTTTGTCCCGAACTACGCTTAAGCACGGGTACTGTTCACTTACAAACAGGCATTTGGTGAACGTCACACACCCGGGCTTCTGTCTCCTCTGTTCTCTTCACTTAATCAGTTATGCTTTCTTCCCATGTCTACTGTCTCTAAACTGTATTCTCTAAACCTTGGCTTACGGCTTCAAAATTTATGAAATCTAAAGAGTCACATAAATAAAAGTTACCAACCACTTGATAAAGGGACGTGACTACCACGCCAAGAGCGGCAAACACCATTCCCAGGGAATGAAACTTCACATCGTAGTAAGAATTTAGGATTACACCTACAGTAATAGGAATCTGCAAAGAACAAGAGGCAAATGTGAGTTTAAATTCAAGAATGATGTCTGACAACACTAATGAAACAAATTCACACCACTGAGGCAGGGGTGGGGGTGGGGGACACGGAATTGCATGTTTTCTTCGTTTGGGGAAAACTGCTTACAAGTAAGCAAATGGATCCCTCATCAATATTTATAAACACATGAGAGTAAACATATAAGGAGAAAACATTAAGACCAGAAACACTAAAAACTACTAAGTGCTAATGTTATTTTAATGACTCTCCTTTTATCTAAACACAAAGCACCCCAGCAGTATGCTGCTGACGCGTATTTGGAGATATTTTATGCTAAACCATTTCATGTTTATCACATATGGTTCGAATTCCCTGGGGGTAGGATTACTTTTTTTTTCTTTCCAGGTTGAGTTTTCACAAATATCCTGACACACTGAACTGTTCCATCTAAGGCTGCTGTCCCCCTCATCAATCACAGCATTTAAAGATTTCCATCAGGAACACAACTTTTTACTAGGAACTTGCGGAGTGTCAGGACGTTTTTTCTCCATCCCTCCCCAAATAAGCTACTTATAGAGCCTGGCCCGTGTGTGGAGTACGACGATGGGAATGGGCTTCCGGAGTGCCAGGCTCTAAGCAAGGGGCATTTAATTTTCCCGGGGAGAAAGATAGCCAGGTAGCTGACCAGGGACGCGCTCGTCCAGCGGCAGCCACAGCTACTCACCAGCGTGAGCTGTATTCTGATGGAGAATCTCTTCTGGTACCAGAAGGTCTGGATGGCTATGATCACCGGCGTGGTCATGGCCTTGGCCAGCTGATAGGTGCCTATGGTGTTGTTCTGCAGAGAAAGGTTGGTGAAGACCACAAAGCCACAGAAGCTGAGGGCCAGGAGGAGGAGCTTGGAGAGCGGCAGACTTTTGGGGGCAAAGATGTCCAGTTTCTGGCAGATGTACAAGCCCAGCCAGGTGACCACGAAGTGCACCAGGGTCAGGCTCATGTTGGGGAAGCCGTGGTGCACATAGATCCATTTGTTGAGGAACACGATGCAAATGGACACCAGCAGGTTGAACAGGAGCCCGGCGGCGATGCGCCCGTTGCCCCGGACCCGGTCGGCCAGCGATGCCATGATGCCCGCCGACTGCGGAGCAGCGCTCTCGGCCGAGCCCGGGCTGTCCAGCCTCCCCGCGGGGTGTCCGGCTGCTCTCCGGCTCTCCCGGCTCTCCGCTGCTGCAGCGCGCCCGTAGCCGCCCGCTTCACCGTCCGGCCGGAGACAGGCATGCGCCAGCCGGGTCCCGGGCTGCCGCGCCGCGAGGTAATAGGCCGCCGCCCTCCGAGCGGTCCGCCGCAGCTCCTCCCAGCCCCGCCCCCGCGCGCCCACGTAGCCCCGCCCCTCGCGACCACGTGACCACGTCCGCACTTCCGCCGCGCAGGCGCGCTGCGCGCCCCGCCCGCTTGCTTAATTGAGCTCGGAGGGAGGCCTTTGGGGAGACGTCCGTTTGTGGGCGATCGCCAGACTTAACCGGGCGGCGCTCATTCCACGCCAGTTTAACACTCCACGGTGCTGAGCTGTTTAAATCCTCCGAAGGGGAGGTAAACTCTTGCTTGCTGAAAGTATATTTTAAAATATCTTCAAAGTCTAAACAGGTAAGAGTGGATGGATAACTAACTCGCCTATACTGTAGATTTAAATATATTTTGGAGAGTTTTTGCCTCGAAAAACTTTAAACCACAGAATTTGTTACCCACGAATTTTTTGGTAAAACCTAAGAAGTAAGTACATTTTCCTGTAAGACCGAGATATTAATTGCACTCCTAAGAGGCTTATTATAGCAACAAGTATGCAGTCCAGCTTCAAGGTCAGGGAGTTGGAGAGGATTTCTAAGTTTGGTACTATTATTTGGAAGTGAAAATTTATATTTTGTTTGTTTTGTTTTTCGAGACTGGGAACTCAATTCTGTGGACCAGGCTGGACTCGAACTCAATATTCACACTGTTACAATATGAGAGTGACTTTTCTCATGTCCAGACGTCTTCCACACTGATTGAAAACATGGATCCTGCTTTTACTATTTACAGGGATTAAGAAGGGCTGGCTTGGAACACTCTGCAGAGCTAAGGATGACACCGAACGGATCCTCCTGCGTCCACCTGTTAAAATGTCATATGCCTCGCAACTGGGCTTCTAATGTGTAGTTTTTTTTAAATTTTGGACACTATTTCATAGGTTTCTATCATCTACTTGCTGATTTCTCTGCCCATTTTCTTCAGGGTTCCTGTTATTTCTAATGGTCACTGAAAAGAGGCAGGTAGATTCTTTGATGACTTTTCCACAGTTAATTATTCTATTAAGAAACTACTCGCCGGTAGTGGTGGCGCACACCGGTAGGATTTGCTGAAGGAGGCAGAGGCAGGAGGATCACGAGTTCGAGGCCAGCCTGGGCTACACATTAAAAAAAAAAAAAAGAAACTACTCTTTAGAGACATGCAGACAGCACATACATGTTTAAGCCACACTGTAGATGGCGCTGATGGTCCGACTGGCCGCTGCTGTCCTGGTAATGCAGACATAATGGCAGTTATTCCCAGTGGAGCTCACCCTGTTGCAAGAGCAATAGAAGCCTCCCGAAATCCCAGCAAAAGCACCGTGCCTTTAACCCAAAGGCCTGGATTCCAACATCATAGATTCGCCCTCTTCGTGCCTTTCCCGACCTCTTTGGAGGCAGAAATCGCCTGTGGGTCCCTAACTCCTGATGTCGAACCACACCAAGAACTGGTTGGGAAGGAGCTTAAAGTGAGTGGCAGCATGCTGGAGATACACTGGATCGCGGAAGATTCTCGCCTCCTCCGAATTTCCATCATGAACTTTCTTGATCAGCTTTCCCTAGTGGTGAACACTATACATCTCTTTGGGCCTCCGGTTTCCTGTTAAGCCTGGCTGGGGACCCAGGTATTGTAGAGTGAAAAATTATAGATACTGGGTATATAGAATCCTTTTTAGATATAAAATATTCTTTAGGCTTTCTTTACAAAGACATGGAGGCATGAAGCAAGTTAAGAATGTGGACAGACTAATTACGGGAACTGGCTAGAATGCAATTTAGCCAGGTGGAACCAAGCTGGGAACCGCAGTGACAGGGCAAGGCCACAGTGACAGGGCAGGACCACATTCTTGAGAAAGATAAGCGTACAGAGAGTTTTCACCTGACCCTGACTCATGTAGGTTGGGTTCCTTTGGAATGTTCCACTATTTTTATGTTATACCACCCTAGCAACCCCCTCACCCCCTCCTCATTCCTTGGTTTGTGGTTTTTCCCTTTAAAAACACCTCTCAAACTGGCTGTCAGGGTCAATTCAGCTCCTGCGTGGGCATACGAATTGACCGGCAGCTAGTTGTCACGCCCTAATAAACAACCTCGCAATTGCTCTGGTACATGGTGTCTCGAGCAGATTACTGGGTGGTCGCGACTTTCTGAGACTTGAGAGAGGGTCTCCCCTCTGCGGAGGTCTTCAGTATGACCTTATCTCCGTCTCCTCTTAAGCAGTACAATTTTCCCCAGGGAAGAGATTCCAGAATAGTGGCTGCTACATAAAAGTGGGGGCCTAATTTTTTATCCTGATTTGGTCCTCAGGCACTTAGGGGCCATTAGAGGCCATTTGGTTTGTGCTTCAATGTTTGTTGCTGAAGAAAATAAAGCTATGCTGCTAAAAATAAATAAATAAATAAATTGAAAAAAAAAAAAACTACTCTTTAAAAAATTACGTGTGTGTGTGTGTGTGTGTGTGTGTGTGTGTGTGTGTAGGCCAGAGGATAGCTCGTAGGAGTCAGTTCTCCCACCGTACAGACTGAATTCATGCTGTCTGGTTTGGAGGCAAGCACCTTTACCAGGTGAGTCATATTAGCTGCCTGCCTCTTTTTGGAATCCTTATTTTGAATTCTTATTTTCTTTTCCTTCTTTTTTTTTTTTTTGTTTGTTTGTTTTTTGAGACAGGGTTTCTCTGTGTAGCCCTGGCTGTCCTGGAACTCACACTGTAGACCAGGCTGGCCTCGAACTCAGAAATCCGCCTGCCTCTGCCTCCCAAGTGCTGGGATTAAAGGCGTGTGCCACCACCGCCCGGCCTTTTAGTTTTTTTTTGGTTTTGAATTCTTATTTTCTTAGCATTGCTCATTTACTAAAATGTCTTGTCTTAGGTGGGGAGGTGGGTTCATTTGGCTTACCCTTCCACATTACTGTTTATTACCAAAGGGAGTTAGGACTGGAACTCAGAACAGGGCAGGGATCTGAAGGCAGGAGCTGATGGAGGCCAGGGGTGTGCTGCTTACTGGCTTGCTCCCCATGGCTTGCTCAGCCTGCTTTCTTAGAGCCCAGGACCCCACCTACAATGGGCTGGGCCCTCCCCCATCAATCATTAATTAAGGAAATGCCTCAGAGCTGGATCTTAATGGAGGCATTTTCTAGGTTGAGGCTCCCCCTTTCAGATAACTCTAGTTTGTGTGTCAAGTTATCCTAAGACCAGCAGCACACGCCCAACTCTTCATCCATTTCATCTGTTGTTACTTGAATTTAAACATTAGCTTTTCGATTTTCTCTGTTGCTTGCACTGGTTGGTTTGATGTCAACTTGACACAAGCTAGAGTCAATTCGGGAAGAGAGACCCCCTCAACTAAGAAAATGCTGCCACCAAGTCAGCCAGAAGATAAGCCTGTGGTACAGTGTTTCAATTGATAACCGATGTGGGAAGGCTTAGCTTAACTGGGAAGTGTCATCTTTGGGTTGATGGTTCTGGGTTAGATAAAACAGGCTGACCAAACCTTAGGAAGCAGGCTGCCAGTAAACAGAGTTACTAGAAGGCCTCTGCTTCAGTTCCTGCCCTGACTTCCCTAAGTGATGTTTCCAAAGCAGGAGAAACCCTAGGGCACTGCTTTCTTAGCTTTGCCACTGCCTGTTTTCAAAGCTCACCAGCTCTTTACTATTTGCTACAAACAGTTCCCTTATCACCCTCCCCAACACGGGTGTGGGTTTCCCTCCCCTGCTCCCTCAGTAAGAGCCCACGAGGTGTTGTGGCTAGGTGTGATGGAGACCAGGTTCAGTCCCAGCAGCTGGAGGGCAGAGGGCTGTGGATCTATCTCTGCCAGAGTTCCAGGCCAGCCAGGGCTGCAGAGTGAGACCCTGCCTCAGGGAGGGAGGGAGAGGGCGAGGGGGAGGACTAGTGAGTGTCTGGGAAGTTTACCCTCCGCAGCTGAGTCTCTGTGTTTATGGTTATGGATTCAGGCTGGGAATCTTAGCATGATTGACAAATTGCATTTTTCTCTCAGTCCCTCAGACTCGACACATGCCAGATAAATGCTTGAACTCGCTACATCTCATGTTCTTCACCATGACTGCTGTCCTCCTGCCCCAGCTTTTTTGAGTGCTGGGATTATGGGCACCTGACAGCACGTCTGGCTCTTGTTTTTCTGAGAAGTATATTCGATTTTACATGCAGGGATGCCATCCATCTCTAGTGACTTTTGTCTGGGATAAAGTCAGAACCAAAGTTCCTTTATTACCTATGTGCACACTCAGTTCTGCTAGTTTTTTGAATACGATGTAACTCTTTTATCATGGGAAACAAAGTGAAACACAACGGGAGTTGAGAGGAGTCTTATAACACCCCTCTGCCCTTTAGTGCTCCTGTCTTACTGCGTTGCTTTATTTGTGGAGACTTTAATTTTATAAGCTAAACTATTTCAACATTAAATGCAGATTTTTATGACTCTGAATCCTATTTTGGCTTGTAAGTCCTTAGAACAAGCAGGTGCAGTTCCCTACAGTGACAGAACTCCAGTGATCAAACCTAAGAAAACTAATATTCATTGAATCACGCTAATACATAACCTCTTTCTAGGATAAAAGAAAGAGTTATACAGCCGGGCAGTGGTGGCGCACGCCTTTAATCCCAGCACTTGGGAGGCAGAGGTAGGCGGATTTCTGAGTTTGAGAGTTCGAGGCCAGCCTGGTCTACAGAGTGAGTTCCAGGACAGCCAGGGCTATACAGAGAAACCCTGTCTCGAAAAACCAAAAAGAGTTATAGATCACATGTGTGTTGTGTACGTGCACATGCGTGTAGGAGCTCCTGCCAGGGGCTCAGATCCTCTCTTCAGACAGGTTTATAAGTGACTGGGTTTGCCACCATTGTGGGGGCTGGGCTGGTTTCCATTTTTATGTGGATGTTTTGGCTGAATGCACGTCTGTTCATCCTGTGTGTGCCTGGTGCCCAGAAGCCAAAAGAGGGCACGGGATGGTGGGAGACTAGGATTACAGATGGCTGTGAACAACCTGTGTGTGCTGGGAACTGAACCCTGATCCAGACACTAGCTGCTGGGCTAACACTCCAGCTCCATTTAAACCTATGTGTGCTGGGAACTGAACCCTGATCCAGACGCTAGCTGCTGGTCTAGCGCTCCTGATCCATTTAAAAACACTCTTGCTAGATTCGTCTTGAGTTTAAAATTCAGAAAAATACCAAATTGTATGATAAATGAGAAGTTACTTACCTGGATTGAAAATGAATCTATTCTTTATTCTCTACTCTCTTTAAATTTTAATATGCCAGGAACTTATGATTATAGGGAAAATATATTACTTCCTTATTCTATTACATAAGAGAAACTCATATCTATAGAACAAAAAATTTATTTTGTATAATTTCTTTAAAAAATACATAAAGAAATACTGATATAATACAAAATCCAAATCCCCAAATTTTACATTTTTCCCCAAGAATGCCAAAGGAAAAAAAAAAAAACCTCAATAATTACAAATATGTATATTTGACCAAAATCAACCAAGCAAGCAAGCATCCTCCTGTAGTCATAGCATCAGAGAGTGTGAGTCAGGACTGGATCTCATAGCCAAGCGGGTCCAGGCCCTGGTCCAGGAGCATCAGGGAGGACTCCCTCAGCTTCTGCAGCAGCTTCCTGAGCTCTTCCTTAGAAAATACCTGACATTTAAAAGGAAAAAGGAAAAAAGACATTAAAAATAAGAATATCAACTTTAAAAACAACCCTAGTCAATCTTGAGGAATTTTCCTTGAAGCTCTATCTGTGTTGCTCAGAGAGCTCATGCTAGTTCCCGGCAGGCTTCTTTCTTATGTTCATATGTATAGACACATTCTGAAAAATAGTACACTGAAACTGCAACATTATTTCCGAAAATGCAAGAACTAAAAACTGTAAACAGGTATTCACAAATATTACCATGCAAGCGCATCAAGTGGGTAAAAGTTACAACTGCAAATGGTCACGGACTCACCAGGTAGAGCTTGTGGCGTTCAGAGGACACCATGTCGGCCAACTGCAGGCACTCCTGGTACTGCCCGGTGCTGTGTAGTATGGTGTGAAGCAGGAAGCACAGCATGGGGAGACAGAGCTTTCTCAGTAAGACCATCTGATGCGTCCGTTCAGGGTCGTCCTCAGCGTCCTACAGACAGGCATCCTGTCACCATCTGAATAACTTTAAGCTACACACCTTACAAATAGAGAAGCCAACTACAGCCAGTGTGGGGGCTTGTACCTGCCATCCTAACCTGTGGCACTTGGAGCCACGGCAGGAGGGCAAGTGCAGGGTCAAGGCAAGCCTGGTCTATACAGTATGCCTGGCTGCTAGAAAGGCCCTGTCTCAAAAGACATTAAAAAAACAAAACAAAACTAAACTAACAAAACCAACCAGTCAGTCAAGTTAGGACTCGACAGATTTAACCAAGGACAGATGAAAAGCATGGAGGGAAAGCTGCATCTACAGTGAACATGCATACTTTTCATTACTGTTTGCTAAGCAATCCCATAACACAACTGTTTAGACAGCGTTTCTACTAAAGTTGGTGTCTGTGATCTGAAAGACATTTACCGACCAGGAGGATGTGTGACAGATACATGAAAACACCCTCAATCCCTTTGATATGATGAAAGGGAACAGCTTCATCTCCACAGGGTCCTAGAATCAACGCCCCAGGCACGTTGAGGGTCAACTACTTAGTCAAAACCAGGACAGGAAAACACTACATTTCTTTTC